TTGGAGAGTCTAGCAGTGTGAGGGAAAAAAATGAATCGAGGCCTGCAAAGTATGACTTATGAGGGAAGACTGAGCGAATTAGGGTTATTTAGCCCAGAGAAGGGAAGACTGAGGGGCGGGGGGGAGGAGATTTGATAACAGTCTTCAAGTATCAAAGGACAATTAGAGAGAGGATAGAGAAGGGTTTTTCTCTGTGGCCAAAATGGGTAAGATAGGAGCAATGGCCTTGAACAACAGCAGAGGAAATTTAGGTTGGAGATTAGGAAGAATGTTAGAATTATAGGGTTGGTTAAGCTTCAGAATGAGCTTCTTAGACAAGTTGTAGAATCACCTTCCATGGAAATTTTAAAAAGCTGTTTAGATAAACATTTGGCTGGGTTGGTTTAGTTAGGGACGATCCTGCCTTGAGCAGGGTGTTGGACTAGATGTCCTCACGAGGTCTCTTTCAGCCCTACTTTTCTATTAAGCTAAGGGACAATAGCTTTTTAGAGTAGACAATAGCCTTTTACAGTTTCAATTTCAATGACAGCAGGAAGAGAAAGAATGTACTGAATTGGATATAGATCAAGAGCATATTGTTTGCTTGTAATGCCATGTATTGAACATGAACCCCACTGTTGTAGTTTAATGTAAATTGTTCCACAGTTGGGTAAAGCAGCTGTATGACAATTGTCCCTAATAATTTCCAAACTAATATTGAAAAGCAAAACCCAGAAAGAGCAATGGATTGCATCTCAGACACTTTTCACTCTTCAGATATGACCTGTTGACTCCTGGGACCCAATCTATAGATTTGGCTGGGTCACTCTTTGGTGCAGTGGGGGCTGACCTTTTTCAGCAAATGCACTACAAATTAGAGCTGTACCCTGGGTGCCACTTCTCCCTACCTAATGGGCTGTTCTGCTTTCTGCTGCTGTGCTACCTCTCCTCTTCCTGATCTGCCACGTGCCACACACACAGGGTGCTCATGCCACTTACGGCATGTACGCACCATAGGTTGGCCATTTCTGTGATTTGGTGCATGATCTATTTCCCTGAACCTGGGGCTAAACTAGTGCTGGTTGTTTCCAACTTAACTAAAAAGACCTGACATATCTCCAGCAATGGGGGATCATCTGAACCTACCAGTGTTTTGGCCTTGTTCCTTTTCATGGAGCTGTTAGAGCACAGTGTCAGAAGGTATAGGTGAGAGGAACCAAGAGGATAACAGGAGAAAGTAAAATAGATCAGAGAGGACAGGGGAGGAGGGAAGTTGACATGAAGGGGGTACTGAGAGCTATGCAAATGTGCAGCACCTTTCAATCCTATCTGTTCTAGTGTTTAATATATTGAATACATCTTCATCTAATGTCCTCCCTCCCCCCGCCCCGAGCCCCCCCAACAATTATTGCTCCACTCAGAACGTGGCACATTACCTTCTTGAGACTTGTAACATAAATATCTTGAAAATATCATATTTGACTGAAATTTCCACTGGAAAATGCCCTGTTAATTTAATATGATATTTTGTGGCCCCTGACAAACAGCAACAGGGAGATGTTTGTTTTAAAAAGGTGAAAGTGCATACTAGTAAATGGACTTAAGCAGGTGTAGGACCTGAACAACAGTTTATTCCATTTTTTTTTAAAATGAGTGCCTAATTAGGAAGCTTTTTACATTTTTTTAAAACCAGAAACATGTTTTCATGTACAATTTTCTGTCTTCTGTAGCTTAGCAGCTATTTTTGAAACTGGGATCCTCTCCATTAAAAAGAATATATGAATAAGCTAAAAATATTAAACCAGTGCTGTTAATTCAACATGAAGACCAAGATCTTTAACTCCCTCCCCCATGATACAGCATGCAGTGGCAGTTCCTATGACAACTGGTCCTCTCTTCTTTGGTGTGTGTACTAATAGTGGTCTTCCTTTATAGTGACAGTGGGGAATGTGACAGCCTTGTCATTTCAACAGCAGTGTTTCCTCTGTTCCTAAATGGGAGCTGGGTGAAGCCCGCTTGTGTTCTGCAGACCATGAATATGCTGAGCCTTCTCAGGAGTGACCTTCACTTTGCTTATTCCCTACTTACCCGTCACCTCTGTTGCTGTTTCCTGCTATGCTTTGTTAGGAACCTAACTTCTGTTTCATAGTTAGCAATATACATTGTTAATAGGACTGAATTTATAAGGAATTAATTTCTACATATTTTTATTGTGGCAGACCATATTTGATAAACATTAAATTCGTAGTGGTTGATAACTGGATACCAATCATAATTCAGCAGAACAGCATCCAAAGTGGGCTATGACATGCTTTGAAATAACTCTGTAATATATGCCATCTATTCTATTTTTCACAAGCCAACCAAGGGAAAAAATATAACAAAATGAACCAATATATTAAAAGACTTTATTCACAATAGAGAAATGTTTACAAATATAGTTCTTAAAAATTAAGCATCTTGATCTATTATGTACCCCATAAGTTTAGATATTTATATAAAGGTGAAAAAGACTAAATGGAATATGTACAAAATCAAAAACAATTTTAATGGACAGAAATGGATAATACGTATGATGAAGTCAACTATAGAAACAGTGAGTCATTGGATTTTGTAGAGTTGTCATATAACATACACATTATGCAATATTCATTTCACAAACTATCAAAACAATTGTTTTTCATTAAATTTAAATTAAATGCCATTTAAAATTATTCACCTTTTAGGATTTATTGTATGTAAACTTAATTGTATTGTTATATGCTAAAAAGAAATGAAGTTTACGCAACGTCTTTCATGGAAATTGGAAACACTGGTTACATCTTCTTCAAAATTAATTTCTCTTGCCTTATGAATTACCAGTTACATATACAGTGGTCATCATGAAGTCAGCAAGACCATGCAGTTGATTTCATATTCTAAACATATGGGAAATATACCAATATCTCCATTTCACCCACGTGGCAACTGTTGATAAATGCTGACGGTTTAAAATGATGATCACTATAATGTTTCACACTTTGGTGTTTTGGGATTCCTTTAAAAAAATCAATACTTTTTAACTTACAAAAAGGGTTTTTCTTACAGTTGGCAGATCTACATGTTGTACAATCTTCTTGTCTACTTACATTAGTTTACAAAAAGTACAGTATAGTGCAGTTTGTACATACAGCCTGAATACCATATCAGTTACAGAATCACACATCGTTTGTGCTCTTTCAAATCTTAACTTCCAACCCCCCAAAATAATTTTCCACACTTCCAAGGAAATCAGTGTGAAATTTAAATATCTTAATATGAAGAACCCCATTTATACAACAGTTCTTTCCATTCTTTACGTTTTATTTACTTATTTAATTTTTGGAGTAAGAAACATGTATGGCACGTTTCTCCTTTCCTGTCCCAAGCTCACTATGGGAGTACAGGAGAACCAAACACATCTGGGAGAAGTGGACACTGCTCAAAAAACCCCCAAAATGTAAAAGCCAAGTTTACAAAACATTTCTCAGATTCTATTGGATTACTCGTGATCAACAGAAATGAAACCCACAGCAACACGCACACAAAATTATGTGATAAATAGAACAAGATATATCCAGACTAAGAACAATAAAAAATATTGCAAAATGTTTGTAGGGAAGTAGAAGAGTTTAGTTTGTGTGAAAATTAGATAGGCCTATATTCCTTTTACAAATCTCTTGCATTAATGTGTTATGTAAGGAACATAAAATGATAAATACTGTGCTCAAAATATGCAGACTCAAGCTTGCTAAAGTTATCAGGAGTCTTGCTATTCATATCAACATGGGATTTTGAGCAAGGTGCCCAAATTTACCAATTGTATCACACTGGCCTTTCCACCTGTATTTGGTAAGTGAAACAATACATTATTACCAACTGTAGATAACAGTTCAAATCCTGAGTCCCAAATTGATTTAGAGAAGACAGGCAGGGCAGTAGTCAGACACGTGTGCTGTAATAAATTTCCCCCCATATCCCAAGTTGTGCAGACCCTGTTCAGTCTAAAGTTGCAGAGGTTTAGTTCCCTGCCCAACCTCAAAAAGGGGAAGCTCAGGGATTCTTCATCTTTGTCTCCTCTCTGCATGAGAGACAGCAGTGTAGTCAGAAAGGGCCCTGGTACAAAAGAACATGGATTTTTGCCCCCAAATGTGGGATGTTACCCTGGTCCCTGGTTTTTACCTGAAATACCATTCTTCAGCACTTTCTTTCACTAATGGAAAAGAAATATCAGCCTATTGTGTAATAAGCGCTGTACTTCATTACTGTTATGAAACATGTCCTTAAACAAAGCCAGACATTTGAGCCACCCCAGCCATTTATTTAAATGAAAATCAAGTTACTGTTCTGAGCCATATTTGTGGTTGGGCAATCAAATCAACTGCTGGTGCTCTTTCATGCTGGGAGCAGGTGTCTTATTCTACTTGGAACATACTGCTCAGTCCCTAGAAAACTGTATCAATTGCTTGTGCAAATTGTTCACAAACTATAAGTAGCAGAAGGAATTATGCCTGATTTTTTCCCCCTTTGTTTATGCCATTAAATGTAACATGTTTGGCATGGCTGTTACCTTTTTTGGTGAACTTCTCCTCGTACAATACTTTTAAATGCATTGTATTTCTATAAATTTAATCCCCCTAAAAGGAGACCAATCCAATACTTCCAAAATGTAACAATTTCCCCCCGGTTATTTTCCTTCTCTTAAATCTCTTAATGAAATTTAATTATTTTTATTATTTTTATGGTGAGAAATTTCCTCTGAGCTATCCTGCCCCGCTGTTCTATCTACATTAAACTACTTTGTTCCAGCTGACTACGGCCAATCGGGTCATAGCCTAAACTGAATGGAATGTTTGAAAAGATTAATAAAATAGTGTCTCAGTCTCTGGTTGCAATATTTCTCAGCCTAATTTAAGAGAGAATTTCATTGAACAGTTCATTTATTTTCAATGTGCAGTCAAATGAAAATGACCTGAATAAGTAAACGACTATAAACAGCAAAATAAGATTCCCTTTTTTAATAGTACAACAATGCTAGTTTTGCAGACTGTTTATTTTTATCATACCAGACCGACTATGGAACTGCAAGTCTAATTAGAAAAGGAAGGAAACAATTCAGTTTGTAATATTTTAAACAGTCTGAGGTGAGATTTTTCACAAATGAGGAACAGTCCACTAATATAATGTAAAACTGATTTAGATTCATTTCAAACTATACTGCAGTTTGAGATGGACTCATGTCTGCAAGAGATGAAAATATTCCTATGTAAACTTCATTGATAATGAAATACTTCAGAAGATATTTTACCAATTAATGATAGACCCGCATAAGAAGAGGCTGTCACAGTTAAAAGATGTGTCTCAGATGACAGACAGACAAAACAAATTAACACAGAACAAAAAAGAAAAAAGCTTTTTATACTTAATTCAATATGGCTTTTTGCAACATGGCAAAATATTACAGCTTAAAGCAGACATCTCCTCACAGAGGAGGAAACATTTTTGCAGTCAAATCAAAAGGTATTAGGAAAGTAACATGCAGACTTTTCTATTGTTTTTGGCAAAGGTGACACTGCAGCCTAATGAAATCTAGAGATGTCAGATTTTCTTGAGAAAAATGGTTTGGTTGGATAAATAAGATTAAACGTCTTCCTGTAATGAATTTAGGTCCATTCATGAATATTTACTAGTAAACACAACAGACTGCAAAACAGTTGGTTTAAAAACTCAAAATAACTCAGGAATTTAAAACCAAATCATGTGCCCAAGTATTGGAAAGAAACATAAGAAATGAAGCAAAACCTAAAAATTAAACATTATTTTATTTCTCCTCTTCTTCCTTCTTCTCATCGTCTCCATGAAGAACTGGTAGAGGGTGAGCCTCAGTGTTGAAGACCCAGTGTTCAAATGGAAGAAGATCATCTTCAGAAAACAGCAAGTATAAGTACCTGTGCAAGAGAGAACAGGAAACATGACAGCACCAAAAGGTAACCACAGTTTTCATGGTGGTGGAAACTGGAACTAACATACCTTCCCAGCAAAATATTAATGTTCCACTTCTATGAATATCAAAAGAATCAAATATTAGGCCACAGACCAAGCCCGAAACATTACTAGTGAAGATGGTCACTAATGTTGTGGTGCCAACCATTGGGGCTAGACTCAAATGAAATTGGCCTCAAGGCTTGATAGCAGCAGACAGTGACAAGACATCAAGGCTAGGATATTGTAGTTAAGTAGCCCTTATTTTCTATTTCAGTCTTGGGAATTTTGTTACAAATTATTTCTGTAACAGTCATGACAAGTTTTTGTAAATGACCATGTATATCAAATTACAATAATGATAGAGTTTGCCTTGATACCAACGAGCAAGATTCGGCTTAGGGATTTATTCTCAAAGAACAAAGACAGAGATCAGAATACATCTTGGGTAAATATTTACTAAACAGTGGCATAATCATTATTAAAAAGACAACCTTTTAACCTGCTGTGAAACACAGAGGCTGCCCAAACAGATTTTAGAAATTCCTCTAGCTCATTCTACTCCCATCATTTATTACATAGAACTGTCACCTCTTCTGCAGAAGGCTGTTTTTTGGCTATTCTAGGCTAATGTTTTTGTTTTGCTTTGTTTCTTAAAAAGTTTCCCAATGTTCGTAATACAGCTATAGCTTTCCTGGCAATTCTGGAAGCCCTAATATAGACAAAGATTCCCCAAGCTGTCAGTGTTAAATGCTGTCATTTAACTGTCCTCAAAACTTGCCATTGGCTGAAGGAAACTTACCTATACATTAGCAATGGACGCATGTGCGAGTTCTCAATGATGCAGACTTTTATTATTAACAAAATCTCAAAAAGACATCTTATATACTAGTTTATTTTAGATGACAAAAACAGCTGGATTAAAAGTAGCTGGTTAAACAATGGCACTGCTTAGACCAGGGGCAGGCAATTATTTCGGGTGGAGGGCTGCTAATTGAGTTTTGGCAAGCCATCAAGGGCTGCATGACAGGCATTTAGGGTCAAATAAATATTAATTTTCTAAATTTTTTAGGGGCCCCGCAGGCCGGATAGAATGGCCTGGTGGGTCGCATCTGGCCTATGGGCCACATTTTGCCCACCCCTGGGTGAGACTAAACCAAAATTCGAGAAATCACATTAGAATGGTTTTGGAACACTGGTTTCCATTGTTTTCATAGAAACATAGAAAGTTACGGTCGGAAGGGACCTCAGGAGGTCATGTAGTGAAGTCCAACCCCCTGCTCAAAGCAGGACCATCCCCCAAAACTTTGCCCCAGCCAAGGCTTTGTTTAGCTGGGTCTTAAAAACCTGCAAGGATGGAGATTCCGCTCTGCGTAACCTGTTACAGTGCTTTACTACCCTCCTAGTAAGAAAGTTCTTCCTAATATCTAATAGAAAAACTTGTTTCTTCACTTCTCCGTAGGTGAAAAAGATGGCTGACTGTTTAAATAGAATAATAAAGTGCTTAAGACATTTTAATGTTTATGTTAGATGTAGCAAATAGATTACTTTTGAAACAAGACCGGACTGTACAATAAATGAGGAACAACTCAAACACTCATCATCTACTGCTTATAGGTAAAAACAAAACAAAGAAAACAAAACAACCCCTCAACCCCCTCAGAAAAAAGTGCCTTGATAAAACAAAAATATTTATTTTAATGAGTGTGGTGGCTATTTTACTCTAATGCAAAAATGTATCTTAGAGCACGATTTGTTACATGTTAAGCTGAGTTGGTATTGCTCATATAATTAGAAACCTTGCTAGCTCAACTGAGAGCAAAAACTTCTGAAAATTTTGTTTGGTGACAATCCTTATGGATGACGTTAAAAAAGGAATTGAATACAATAGTTTCTAAGCATGAATACTAGTATTTATAATACCCCCAACCGTGGAAAAAACGCCCATGTGAAATGAACTGAAACAGAAATGAAATTAAAAAACCCACTTAGGTAATAATACATTTTCTGTAAAAACTAAATAACTCTTGTAATACACGAGTGGGATGCAAATAATGGAACGAAACAGAAAGAAAAATTGAGGCAAAATGTCCTCTGCTTCATTAATTGCTCAGGACAATGATTCTCAAGTAGGGGGGGCAGGGGAACCCTGGCGTGTTGAAGTGTGGAGATAAGCAGATAAGGGCAGGCTCCACCCTGTCTGCTTGCTCCCTGCCCCCATTGCCCAGGCCCTCTACTAGTAAGTAAGCACTATAATAAATAAATACATTTTTAAAATGGGGTGCTGCTCAATTCACAAAAGTTATGGCAGTGTGCCTCAAGTCTAAAAAGGTTAAGAACCACCAGCTTGGGAGACCACAACAGAAAATGAGGATTTTCTTGTTGTCTTAGGTTCTGTTGTCACGATTCAAGTTTTTCTAGTTAAAATGAAAAGGTATTCAAGTACAAGCTGATAGCCTAGCCCTCTTGTCTGGTGAAAACAAACTTGGGTAATGATGGCATGTATAATTAGAAGCTATTAACATTGTAATTTTTAACAGAACAATTACCAGTAACTATCTTTAACAGAGGTAAAACACTTCCACAGGTCATAAAATTTAGTTTATTAATAAAAATGCAATCTGGCTTCCTGCCATGAAACAAGAGCTGTATGCTATTAGTCAGATTTTACATTACCTGAATGTCAAGGATACTAATGATAAGTACTTGTCTGTAAAAAAGATCTGTAGAGCTACTTTATATTAATGAAAGTCCCCTTTTCAACTTACTTGAGTGTTTCTGAAAGGAAGAAACTCTGCTGCACATCATCATGGCTTTGATGGTTGCTATAAACATCTCTAATGCCAGAATAGCCACCGTCTACTCTGCAATATTGTTCCAGTGCCTGAATTTACAAGAGGGGGAAAAAAAAATCAGGTTTAAGAAAATGAATCTTCTGTCAATTTTACTATTAGTTGCCAAATCCAATTACACTGCAGTTAAACAAGAAACTTTTGTCACAGTCTCCTTGGGA